GAGGAGCATGAGACGTGGTTGTCAAGCTGTCATTGCGGCAAATGGTGGAAACAACCACTACTGACATTGTCAGTTTTTGTTGTTTGGGGCTATTCTTGTTAGTGTTTAAATTTTGGGGGTAATACATATTAAACTAATGAAAATGGTGTTTCTTCTCATTCATTATTAGTAATATCAAAGGGAACTTTTACTTATTTCATTAAAATTCTGACCAAATAGGAAAAGCACTCATGTAAATAACAATATCCCTAACTTATTGTGAGTAGTGTATATACAGACAAGCCAGAAGGTCATGATGTCACTAAGTGTACCACAGACCAACTGCAGTACCTGGTTGCTCCACCAGGTGGAGCCTCTTCCTGTTTAGTCCTGTAGAGACCAGAGGAGGCGTCACTCAGACTACAGTCATGGTGGCAGCAGAGAGCATTGTGGGAGTTTAGCAGCAACGGGACCATGACAGAGACTCTGAGGAGGTTCAGGACCTCCAACCAGAGCTCAGGAGTTCAATATGAGTCAGAGCTGATGAGGACAGTGTTCCTGTGGCCCAGCGGTGGATGTAGTGGTTTAAAACATCAGTGTCAGCAAGTTGAATAGCGTTCCTCATTTCCTTTAATGAATAATAACATTTCTGGATATTTGTGTAAACGGTGTGTCCTTATTTAGAACATGGTGTTGTTAATACACTGAGTGTTTTTAGTTATCGATCGATCAAGTTACTGTCTGATCAGTGATTGGTCGCCAGCCAGTGTCCTGAGCAATTTCTGAAACGTTCTTTTAATGTGACTGTGATGTTTGACTCACTGAGGTTCTGGTTCTGGTTCTCAGAAGGACCTTGTGGAGGAGCTGGAGGACTCATCTGCAGCAGCTTGGAAGAAACAGCTGGACGAACGGCTGACAGCAGGTCAGAGGAGGTGTTGGTCCTGCTTCAGTGATCGGTTGCCATTAATACCTGCAATATGTAACCCTCTGAACTCAAAACAAGTTCTGACACAGTTTTCTTCACTGAGGTTCATGTTTCTCTGCAACATAACGTCCAGCAGCTCTATTGAATCAGAACATGAAGAAGGAGAGAGAACTCAGAGACGTCTTCTGAACCATGTAGACCAGAGAGAAGGAACGTTTATTTAAATGTTTATTTTAGAGAAAATACAAAAAGCCTCGAATCAACATGTCCAACATATGTCCACAGATCTTAAATCCTGAAGCTACTGTCGTCTCCTCGTCCTGCAGATGTTGAACTATCTCCATGTCTCCAGACTGTAGAATCAGCTGTACAAAGATGTTCCACCATCAGATGTAGAAAGATGTTCCACCATCAGATGTAGAAAGATG